CGGGGGGGGGGGGGGGGGGGGGGGGGGGGGGCTGGAGGAGGGGCGGGAAGGGAAGGAGGGAAGGGCCGACCTGAGGGTGCAGACTGTGGGGAAGAGCAACCCGAAGTCCCGCCCCGGAAGTCCAGCGCAAAGTAACCAGCAGACCGCCCCCACCCCCACCCCCAGCTAAGCGCTGAAAGAGACGTCAGACTAGACTCTTCACAAGGACAAAAAAAGATAAAAACTCTCTCAGTGTGGGCCCTGGAAACAAATACTCTCTGGTCCACTCCCGGCAAAGGCCGCGGCCCTAGAACGGGGTGCAGCTTCCGCTACAGTCCTCACCGCAGCCACGGCCTCCAAGGCGCGCCCCGGCCCTGCAGGCCAGCCCTGGGGGCGGCGAGGGGCGCCCCGGTCAGGCCTGGCGGGAGCCGCAGCGCCAAGACCGACCCGGGGCGCGGCAGGGGGAAGAAGGGACCGTCGAAGGCCGCGAGCGGCGGGCAGCCGTAGACCTGGGCCGGGGGGACGGGGCGGCGCGAGGGCCCCAGCTGGCGCAGGCAGGCCGCCAGGTGGCCCAGCAGGCGAGAACGCACGTCAGCCGGGACGCCCTCGCAGCCGGCCAAGAAGCGATTCACCTCCGCCAGACACTCGTTGAAGCCGGCGCGGTACTTGCCCAGGACGGCGGGGTCAGCGCCGAGCGCGGCTGCGGGGGCGGCAGGGGACAGGCGGTCGGTTCCCGCCGCGGTCGCCCTGAGCGCCTCCCGTCACCTCCCCCTCCCGCGCCCCGCCCGCGCCTCACCTGTCACCTGTACACGTCGCAGGCTCTGCAAGTGCCTCACGGTCATCTCCAGGATGTCCGCTTTCTCCAGCTTCGAATGGCGGGAGCTCTGGGGACAGGGACGGTGGGGGCGGCTGGCAACACAGCGGCGCGCCGAGGCTCCCGGCACCTGCCCCCCCCACCGCCCCTCGATCTCACCTCCCGACCCCGACTCACATCCTTCCTGAAGGCATCCAGAACGAGGGTCTTGAGCTGCGCGAGGCTTTCGTTGATGCGCGCTCGGCGCCGCTTCTCCATGACCGGCTTGGAGGACTGCGGGCCGGGCTGTGGCTGAGTCCCGCGTGCGTCCGCCCCACCCCACGCCCCCCACCCCGCGCCCGGCAGGTCCCCACCTTTCGGTGTTCCGCCACGCTCCGGGGCTTAGCCGGCGCTCCGGCCGGCGGCGAGGCTCTCGGCTTCCCCGGGGTCTCCGCGGGCATGGTGCGCCCCCGCGCCTCCGGGCCCGCGCGGAGCGTCGCCGGCCGCCGGGCTACTTAAGGCGGCGCGGCCGCAGGGCGTGTGAACTCGGCTCCGCATTCTTTCCCACGCTCGCGCCAGCCAATGAGCCGCTGCGCTCCCCCTCCCCGCTCCCCCCAGCACACTCGCGGGCTGCGCGCGGGGCCGCCCGCCCCCGGCCGCGGCCCCCGCCAAACGTCAGTCAAGCCTGCGCCCCGGGCCCGCGACAAAGGCCACTGGAGGCGCCCTGCCCGCGCCCGCCTCCAGCTAGGCCGGGACGACGCGGGAAGGGCGCCTGCCCCCGCCTCTGCAGCCGCGGCCGGAGTCGCAAGCCTGCGCCGGGCCTCTCCGGCCCGCCCCGGGCAGCGGACCCCGCCCCGCCCCGCCCCGCCCCCCTCCCCGGGCGGGGCGGAGTCGCGAGGCCCTCACTGAAGCCCAGCGGAGTCGGGGTGGGGGTGGGGCGCGGAGTTCACGGTGGGCGGCGCGGGAAATCTGAAAGGAGAATTCTCCAGGGGAAGTGGGTCAGACGCCCCACCCCCGCCCGCCCCGGGATGGGCGAGCCTTAGTCCACGGGCCTCCCGTTTTCCTCCGCCATCGCCAGTCCCCACCAGGGCCTAGGGTCTCATCTGACCTGCCACGCGCTTAGCCTCCCGGGGTCCCCACGGCCCGCACACCTCCTCAAGGCCTGTGACACAGTGAACACCAGCCACTGGGCAGGACAGAGGTCCGCTGCCCAAGGTCACGAGGCAGGCAGGGTGGCGTCACGGGACATTTAAATTGTGACATAGAACCAATGAGGGTGTTGCTGCAGGTAGAGGGATGTCACCAGTCACGCAGGAAGATGTAAGGATGTCACCTGGTCAGGCTGGCGATGCCACCAGATAATCAGAGGTGATATCTCTGGTGAAGGTACATGGTGATAGCCCAGACAAGGGGATGTCATGGGGCTGGTGATGTCACATTGGTCTAGATTACCCAACAGCAAAGTAGGGCTCACAAAAAATGAGGAACAGTTACTAAAATCTGCTTATTTCAGGGGTGCTGGGGGCTCAGTCAGTTGAGCGTCTGACTTCGGCTCAGGTCCTGATCTCGCCTTAGTGAGTTCCAGTCCCGCATGGGGCTCTGTGCTGATGACTCAGAGCCTGGAGCCTGCTTCTGATTCTCTCTCTCTCTCTCTCTCTCTCTCTCTCTCTCTGCCCCTTCCCTGCTCAAACTCTGTCTCTGTCTCCGTCTCTCAAAAACTAAAATAACACATTAAAAAATTGTCTCTTTCTTTAAAAAAAAAAATGTGCTGTTTCAAAGTGACATAGTGGGAAAAACAGGACTATGTTTATCTTCCTGTTCCATATTGTTTTCATTCTGGGGGCTTTTTTGGTGGGTTTTGTTCTGGTTTGGCTTTTTGTTTTTTGTTTGGTTTTTGGTTTTTTAAGATTTTATATTTAAGTAATCTCTACACCGAAGGTGAGACTTAAACTCACAAACCAGAGATCAAGAGTCGCATGCTCTACTGACCAAGCCAGCCAGGTACCGTGATATTATTTTCATTTTGAATTATATTGCTGGCCTATACTCTTTTGAGTACTCAGAGTCTCCAGTCCACTGTGGCCTGATGGCAGTGTTGCCATCCATCCCACAGACATTTCTGGGGCTCACTGTGGGCCTGGCCAGCCCTTGGGGTGGGGGAAGCCTATCCTGGGGCTTCTAATCCGGTGGATGACAGGGCAAGCAAAATAATCATTCCTTTGGAAGTGATAGAAAGAAATAGGTGGGCTGCTGGGAGAGAAGAAATCTTTCTTTTCACCCCACATCAAGGTGGGATCTTCTGGGGAGAATGCAGCTTTGCAAGGCCCCAGGGTGAGGGAGTGGCATCCCTAGAATTAGAAAGGGACCACAGAGGCCAAGGGAGGAGGGGAAGGGGCGGGCAGAGGCTTCTGGCTCCAGGAAGGATCTGAGAGCCTCAGGGGCCTTTTCTGAGCAAGGCAATGAGCCAAATGGCAGCTCGGAAAGGGTTCCCTCCACTGTTGTGGGTCTCCATAGTGAGTGTCGTTGGTGCTGCCCCCTGACCCAACCCATTCCCGGGGTCCCACTTTGGGGTCCCATCCAGAGGCCTTCGTCCCATTCCGAGGCTGATTCTAGTCTAGTGCCAGGCAAAGATTGCCCCTGCCCTCTACCGATGCCCCCCACAGTCGGCCTGGGGTGCAGGGATGGGGCAGAGGGCAGCTAAAGTTCTCCCCACCACACAGTGGCACACGGGCACCCAGATGAGGCTACCCATTCCCCTTTCCGGCCTCAGAGGAGCATGCGGGAGGAGTGGAGGGGGCATTGGAAAGCCGCTGGGGTCAGGCAGGGTTCTTCCGAAGGGGACCCCACCCCACCCCCCACCCTGCTAGCATGAAAAGCCTGGGAGCGTGATTGGTCCGGCGGTACAGGCGCGGCTCAGACTAGTCTTGCTGTCGAGGAGGTAGAGGTCATGAGGATTCCAGAGGACAGAAGCCCGCGGGCGCCTTCGGTGGCCACTGGCACCTCCTCCTCTTTCCAGGAGTGATGGAGGAAGCTGTCTCCAGGAGGACCAGATGTGGGTGGGCTCTGGGAGGCCCCTAGCCTCCTGTGGAGGCCAGATGCGCAGGGGATTCAGACTGGAAGGAGAGGCCTGACGAACTACATTTTTGGCCATTCTTTCCCTCACTAGTTGTTAGATGGGCTGACTTACCTTCCTATACCTGCGTCCTCGCCTGTAAAATGGGTCATCTTTCTATTTATTCCAGGATTATTGGGAAGGTAAATGAGACCCTATTCTGAAAGCGCGCAGCACGTAGAGAGAACTGGGTACATGTCAGCTACCTTGTTGTTACTTCCCCAGGGGAGCAGGTGGAAGACAACTGGATAGAGGGGAGACTGAGGCAGGGAGAGACAACTGGATAGAGGGGAGACCCAGGCAGGGGAGACAACTGGACAGAGGGGAGACTGAGGCAGGAGGAGACAACTGGGTAGAGGGGAGACCCAGGCAGGGGGAGACGACTGGGTAGAGGGGAGACCCAGGCAGGGGGAGACAACTGGACAGAGAGGAGACTGAGGCAGGAGGAGACAACTGGGTAGAGGGGAGACCGAGGCAGGGGGAGACAACTGGGTAGAGGGGAGACCCAGGCAGGGGGAGACAACTGGACAGAGGGGAGACTGAGGCAGGAGGAGACAACTGGGTAGAGGGGAGACCCAGGCAGGGGGAGACGACTGGGTAGAGGGGAGACCCAGGAAGGTGGAGACAACTGGATAGAGGGGAGACTGAGGCAGTGGGATGCCTGTCCTCAGCTTCATCATGTGCCCCACAGTGCTGTCTACACTGTGAGCACGCCCTAGGCTCATCCTCAGACACTGGCCAGAGAGGGAAGCAGGCCCCCACCCAGTGTCTCCAGGGGCCTGTGTCTTGGCCTTCCCAGCCCCAGCCAGCCAGGAGCCCTCTCTAGGCCAGAGCTTTCCCAACGGCCTCACCACCGACATCCTCACTGTGTCTTTCCCACAGGGCCGCAACCCCGCTATCTGTATGGTCTTGTCTCTCTGGGCCATTGTCCCTCAGACTGCCTCTGCAAAGAAGCACAGACTGGTGCCATGGAAAGCCCGCAAGGAGAGGTCCCGTGGAAAGGCCTGGCGTAGGTATTGTAGCCAATAGCCCAGTCGTCTCAGCAAACACGTGAGTGAACCCCTAACCCGAAGTTGCCATGCCACCCACTTTATGTTTTCCCAGCTGCCCTGTGTGCTCTGCTCCAATTGTTTTTAACTTTCTTTAATAGTTCATTTGTTTTTGAGAGAGAGAGAGAGGGAGCGAGTGAGCGCAAGTGGGAGAGGGGCAGAGAGAGAGGGAGACAAAGGAACCGAAGCAGGCTCTGTGCTGGCAGCATAGAGCCTGATACGGGGCTCAGACTCACGAATCATGTCATCATGACCTGAGCTGGAGTCAGATGTTTGCCTGACTGAGCCCCCCAGGCACCCCTCTGTTCCAATTCTTGATTCACAGGACGGTTGTTTACTATGACATCTTGGGGTCATTTGCTACAGTAGTAGGAACTGGGATAGCTGGATGGACCAAGCCCTGGACCCCGGGAGAGGGGCCCTTTCCTCCCACCCACCTCTTCCTCGCTGTTCTCATTCCCTATTTTCTTCAGCATTCTTAATTTTTTAAAGTTTATTTATTTATTTTGAAAGAGTGAGAGAGAGCTCGCGTGCGTGCACGAGAGAGGGACAGAGAGAGAGGGAGAAAGAGAAAATCCTGAGCAGGCTCTGTATCAGCACAGAGCCCGATGCAGGCCTTGATCTCATGTGAGATCAAGGTCTGAGCCGAAACCAAGAGTCAGATGCTTAACCGACTGAGCCCCCCAGGCGCCCCTCCAACCCTTACAGAGGCTCAGTGGTTTTGAGCCCTGGCTTTCCATCTGATGAGGTGCTTCTTGGAGCCATCAAAGGTCAGCTGTCTGTCTTTTGTACCCAGGCCCAAGTGGGCCAAGCCCCAGGTGGCTGATGGTCCAGCGGGCATCTCTGGGGCCCACTGGTGGTCGTGCGGAGTGGGGGGGGGGGCAAAGCAAGGTAGTCAGTGTGGGAGTTTGTGGGGAAAGACAGAGGTATCTTCTAGTCCAGACCTGGGACTCCAGCCTTGTGGGCAGGAGGTCTCACATAGGCCACTGTGAGCATTCCACATGACAGTATTCAGCCAATGTCCCTTGAGGGCCTGTGAGGTGCTGTCTACCGATAAACAGCCCCATCCCCCTCCACCACAAATTTTGACATGGGGTTAACAACTGTATTTACACCCTGCCCCTCACATTCCTCTGGCGCATGGATTCCAGAACATCAGAGACACCACAGACTACCACCTGCCCCTGTGTTCCCCCCCCCGTGTACCCTCCTCTCCTGCAAAGAGGCAGTAGCCCATTGGCTCAGGCAGCTGGGACCAGAGCTGTCCCAGGCTAGAACTGTTGCAGTTTCTCTCCTGCAAGGTGGGAGTTAGGGGCTGAGTCTTTTATTGGTGTTTGCTGGAATTGTAAAGTGACAGAGGCCAGGGCTGATGGGATCCAGGATGCAAGATAGAGGTGAGGGAAGCATAATGCCCAGGACCCAGGCAGAGGCCAGGAGCACAGGCTGCGGACGCTGTTTTGACATTCCAGGATGACCCTGATCTTCTGTGGCCAGAGGGGCATCTTCCTCCCTTACAGGACCTGGAACTGACACACCTTCCCTCAGCTCCCAAATACTGCCCCCCAGCACCCGCTGAATGACAGCACCTCCCCCCAGCACCCGCTGAGTGACAGCACTGACCCCCAGCACCCGCTAAGGGACAGCACCACCCCCCAGCACCTGCTGGGTGACAGCACCGCCCCCCAGCACCCGCTGAGTGACAGCACTGACCCCCAGTACCCGCTGAGTGGTCAGGGTGTTATCAATGCTCTCACCCAAATCTGAGCACTGACACCTCTCTACATTTGGGAGATGACAGAAGCCCCTCCAAGCTCTGTCTGCATGGGACGCTGCCTGGCCCACTGGCTCCCCCGGGTGCTGCTGTTCATTCTTCTTGGACCGCTGCACCTGGTGAGAGGTGAGCTTCCTTGTGCCTCCTCTTTGGCACTTCCAGACCTGTCTCTTTCCTAGCACAAAAGCCCCAGATTTGAACCTCATATCATCAGATCTTGTTGAAGTTGTCTGCATGCCTGGGGGCTTCCCTAAAATCCTTCCTGTTTTACTCCTGATTCCCTGTCACTTTCCCCAACCACTCCTGTCATAGTTCCTGGTGATCTCAGAATCTACAGGGGATTCTCCAACCTTCTGTACATCCTCCCCTTCAGCAGTCCTGTCACCTTCCCAGCTGGCCAGGGTCCTTCTCACAACTGCAGCCTCTCCACAGTCTAACCTCAAGGCCCACATTCTCTGACGAGTCCCCAACCTTGCAGCTCATGCCCTCCACTCCCCTTTAGCCCCTCCGAGATCTGCGGTCCTTGGATAAGACCCAGGTTAGTACTTTCTCATCCCCTGATGGCCTTTCCCTCCTCTGTATCAAGAGAGACTCTCCAGATCAGCCACTGTGCCTGCTCCCTAACCCTACCCCCCTCCTCTTGCTTCATCATATTCACTCGGCCAAGCCATAACCCATGTTAAATCCCAGCTATCTTTGTGTCTTTGTTCCTTCTCACAGTTGGTGGATCCGGGTGGTGCTGGTGGCTTCCCCAGGGCCCCACTCGTGCTGTCAGCTGAGGGTCAGCTAGGCTGCGAGGATACAAGTGGCACTACGTATGGACACGTGGGGTTGTGGTCACTGGGCCTCTGGCGCTCTGCCACGTGGCCCCATCCTGCCCAAGCCGGACCAGTTTCCTCACGTGGCTTGGCCAACATTTCAGAAGGGTGAAGCGGAAACTCAGGGTCTCTTGAGGCCTGGGCTACAGAACTCACAGGTGAAACTCCTGCCAACATTTCATCAGCTGAAGCAGGTCACAAGGCCAGCCAGATTCAAGAGTGAGATGCCGTGGCCGTGTTTCTCTATCAGTCACGTCAATCTTCCGACATCCTGTAGCTGCATGTGGCCAGAGAGGCACCGAGCCACTGATCAGCCTTGCCTTACACTCTGGACCACGGGCCTCTCGTGGCTCTGATGCTGCCCAGGCGTCTTACGTTTCCTGGCCCCTCCCCAGCGTGCTCCTGAACAGCTCTAGCACACTTTTGGTCTCTCTCCCACAGTGCCTCCTCCCTGTCCTGCTCTCATCTGATATGGAGCCGAGGACACACAGGCCTGCAGATCACACGTCCTTTGGTTGAGCCCCGTGCTCTGCGTGTACCGGTGCTTCCTGCACGAGGCTGGTACCTGGCACCATCCCCTCTCTCTGCACCCTCACCCCCTCTCCCTGTGCATTCATTCCCATTTTGCTGTTCAGGGTTAGAAAAGCACACACGGCATCAACTTATCAGGTCCCCACCTCACTTTCCATCTGCCACTGCTGCTCTGTGGCAAAGATCCCAGAGCGGCCACCTACCTCGTGAACCCATTTCCTCTCCTCCCTTCTCTCCAGCTCTCTCCCGGTCTGCCAAGACTCTATGGACACCAAGCTCACCAAGGTCACCAGGATGTCCCTGTGGCTGATCTAGTAGTGACGAGGTGCCTACACATCCCTCACTGCTTCTTAGACCTGTCAACCCCCGATGGCCCTCCTGCCTCACTGCCACTCCTTCTGCCTTTCTGATTTCTCCATGAGTCCTCACTCTCTCTGGGTGTCCCCACTCCCTTGCACACCTCACTGAGGCTCCTGCTGGTGGCACTCCAATTGGTATCCGCAGCCTGGGCTTACCCATGAACCCCAGGCTGTATCCTTTACCTGATTTTAAGTCTAATAGGCATTTCGACTGCAACATGCCCATAACCAAGTTCCTGATAGTGTCCTGTGGTGTTGGATTTTGACCGATGCTCTTAGTTTCACACCCAACCTGGAGTTCCCACCCACTAGGAGGCCCTGACCACAGGGGCACAGGTGAGGAGGTCAACCTCCCTCGGGACTGCTTTTGACCTGCCTCTACCCTGCACGCCCCAGCCTCTTCTCTGTGGCCCAGCCTCTCACCTGCGCTGACTAGCAGGTGTCTTCATGTTCTCCGATGTAGCCTCAGGCTTCTGATGCCTCGTGAATAAGTCTTTACACTAATTTCTCTGTGTAGACAACCGGGGCGGGCAGTGTCTCTGCCTGGTGATTGGGCCTGACTGAGGCTCCTTGCCTCCTCTGCGCCTGACTTTTCTCGGAATTCTCAGGCCAGCGTTCTGCCGTCGCGCTTAACGCTTGGAGTCCACTCCCCACACTGGCCCATCAGGCGCTACTGCAGCTCTAGCTCCCTGATGTATCCGAACGCCACTTCTGGCCATTTGCTCTCCTGCCACTGACTGTGTCACCGTCACCTTTTGCCTGGATTTTCACAGCATCTCCTGATTGGTCTCCAGCTCCCTTCCCGACCCGAGGTCTTTCACTTCGTGCAGCTGTCCTGACGATCCTGTCGGGCCTGAGTGGAATCAGGCCAGGACCCTCCATGGTGAAAGCCTGGTGTGTTCCGTGGCCAGCCACATGCCCTACTTCTCTGCATCCACTCTCCAGCCTCACTGCCTCACTCCCGTGCAGACACACTCCTGCCTCAGGGCCTTTGCAGCATCTGTGTCTCTGCCTGGGAAGCTCTTCCCTCCCTGAGGTGTTTACTCAAAGGCCACTTTGGTATCTCCTCTCTGCCTCCCCCACTTCAGGACTTACACTCCCCCCTTTCCTGCTCTTTCTTCTTCCTGCTTATCCCTGTGAACAACGTGTGCCATCTGCACCTCCCCATCCCGTGTGATGTCTGTCCATCGCACTAGAACATGAGCTCCATCTTGCCCAGGGTAGTACCTGGCACGTAGCCTTGTACTCCGTAAAGACGTGTTGGCCAAATGAGTGAGTGACAGAGATGATATCTCCCAACATCCAGACAACGATACCATCTTTTCCCAAAATCAGTGTGGTGACCGTTCCACTGGCATCTGAGCAATGGGGGGATACCTTCCAATATCTGATGTCAAAACATGATTTTCAAGGCAAAAAAATCCCAAAAAGCAAACACGACTTCCATGCAAATGCAGAGCGAGCCCATGTCCAGTGTCTGTTTAGCTCACCAAAGAGGAAACCAACAGTTCCAAGAGGCTTTGAGGGAGGAGTACAGGTCAGTACAACACTGGCAGATGTCACATGGGGCAGCAAGACTGTGTTTCTCCAGGATTGACGTCCCCTGTGTCTGGTGGGACAGATGTCTACACCGTATTAACTTGTAACTTCAAGGATATCAGCAAAGGCACCTCCAGAGAGACCTTCAAGGATAGGAAGGATCCTTGTGCCTGATTTCCAAGTTTAGGATAATTTTCTTAACACTAAGAACTGGTGGCCTCTCCCCCAACCATCCCACCTGAGTCTCCTCCTCCCCACTTTGGCCCCAAGGCCCAGATCCCAACCAGGTAGAGTGAAGGATTGTGTGGTGTGGCTCAGGGCAAGGGCTAGACTTCATGGGGTATCAGGGCTTTGTCTCCTGAGGCGAATTCTGCAGAGAGGGAGGATAAGATGGCTGATCCTTCCTTCTCTTCCCCCTCCCCACCTCTTCCTCTTCCATCGAAAGCGTGTGCGGAACAGGTCAGGCCCACAGATGCATCCCATTGGATTTTCTGTTTTGTGTCCTTCACCATCAGCCTTGGGTTGGTCGGGTGCCTGCTGCTTCCCTGCTGGGTCTGGGGTGAAGGGATGAAAGTGTCATTTAGTGGCAAGGGACGTCAGGGAGGCTGGTTGGGCACAATCCAAGCCCCTCCTCCCCTTGACGGTACCTCCAGCGCAACGGGCCCTGGGTCCCCACACTGCAGACTCCAGGCCTTGTTTTCACGTGGTCCAGAACTCAGAAGACTTGTCCCTAGCACACAGGTGGCCACATAGGATTACAGGGTGTGTCTGGGTCTTGGGGCCATGTGGGGTAGAGTCCAGGTGTGCTTCTTCCTTGCCCTCACCAGCTCCCGTGGGTTTGAACTAAGTCCAGTGCCCCCCACCTTGTTCCTCCCGTACCACAGCTCCAAGTCACTGCCTCCCCAGGTTAGCACAACCCCTGCATCTCAGGTCTGCCTTCTACTTCTCTTCCCCCCCCCCCCCGCCCCCATAGGCCATCCCTGTAGCAAAAGGAATCTTTCTCATCTGCAGACTATCGCTTGACTTCCCTGAGGACCAACCACCCCTATCCCAGAATCTGTTTGGGGGAGAACCAGACATGGGGCTGTTTGAGTGTCCCTCTAGGATAGCTGGTCAGTGTGGGGATAGCAGCTTTATTTCTACTCTCTGTCCTCCACTGAGTCCTGTTTTCCCTGGACACCCATTACAAGGAGCTGTGGCTAGGAGAGGAATGTGTCCACCAAGTGGGTGGTGAGGCTCTTGCATGAGAAGGGATGGGGTCCAGGACAGTGAGGTTGTGGCCCAGGTCAGGGGATCCTCGGCCTTCCTAGTGCTGGGTGGAGAAACAGAGTGACACTTTTCCCTCAGAGCACGGAAAGGAGGGGCTGCCTATTTAATGAGCTCAGCCAGCAGATATTTACAACTAATTAGACTTCAACAATAAGTGGAAATTTGGCCCACCCAGTGTCTCTGACAACACTTTTCCTGGTCAGCCACGGTGACTAACAAGCTCTGTGCCACTTTCTCAGCAAGTCATGGTGTGCCTGGGCTTCCAACATCTGTCCATCAGGAGGTCTGTGGGGGCAGCCCACCCTCATCATTCCACAGCGCATGACCTTCGAACTGTGACCAAAGGCCCTTAGCTAATCAGACGTCATCCAGGATGATCGTCTCAGGGAGCAGTGATTGGCCAGGTGGAAAGGTAGGGGAAAGGAATCAGATCTGAATGAGAGCAAAGATTGTTGTGTCTCATTAAAAGGTAAACTCAAAAATAAAACAAACTCAAAATGGATGAAAAGGCCTAAATGTAAGACAGGAAGCCATCAAAATCCTCGAGGAGAAAGCAGGCAAAAACCCTTTTGACCTTGGCCACAGCAACTTCTTATTCAACACGTCCCTGGAGGCAAGGGAAACAAAAGCAAAAATGAACTACTGGGACCTCATCAAAATAAAATCTACAAAGCGCTGCACAGTGAAGGAAACAACAAAACTAAAAGGCAACCGACAGAATGGGAGAAGATATTTCCAAATCACATATCAGATAAAGGGTTAGTATCCAAAATCCGTAAGAACTTATCAAACTCAACACCCAAAAAACAAATAATCCAGTGAAGAAATGGGCAAAAGACACGAATAGACACTTCTCCAGAGAAGACATCCAGATGGCCAACCGACACATGAAAAAATGCTCAACATCACTCATCATCAGGGAAATACAAATCAAAGCCACAATGAGATACCACCTCACACCTGTCAGAATGGCTAACATTAATAACTCAGGCAACAGCGGATGTTGGCGAGGATGTGGAGAAAGAGGATCTCTTTAGCGTTGTTGGTGGGAATGCAAGCTGGTGCAGCCACTCTGGAAAACAGTATGGAGGTTCCTCAAAAATTAAAAATGGAACTACCCTACAACCCAGCAATTGCACTACTAGGTATTTATCCGAGGGATACAGGTATGCTGTTTCGAAGGGACACATGCACCCCCATGTTTATAGCAGCACTATCGACAATAGCCAAAGTATGGAAAGAGCCCAAATGTCCATCGATGGATGAATGGATAAAGAAGATGTGGGATATATATACAATGGAGTATTACTCGGCAATCAAAAAGAATACAATCTTGCCATTTGCAACTACATGGATGGAACTAGAGGGTATTATGCTAAGTGAAATTAGTCAGAGAAAGACAAATATCATATGACTTCACTCATATGAGGACTTTAAGAGACAAAACAGATGAACACAAGGGAAGGGAAGCAAAAATGATATAAAAACAGGGAGGGGGACAAAATGTAAGAGACTCTTAAATATGGAGAACAAACAGAGGGTTACTGGAGGGGTTGTGGGAGGGGGGATGGAGTAAATTGGTAAGGGGCATTAAGGAATCTACTCCTGAAATCATTGTGGCACTATATGCTAGCTTGAATGTAAAATAAATAAATAAATAAATAAATAAATAAATAAATAAATAAATAAATAAACAAACAAACAAATAAAAGGTAAAGGTGGTAGATTTGCAACTAATAGAAGAGTCTGGGCTGTGAGACTAAAACCTCTATGAGATGAGAACTGTGGACATTCTTGGAAAGGTTTTTTTATTGTTGCAGTTTTTAGATAGTGAAGGGTTTAAAAATAAAATCAAGTATGTTAAATGACTTGAAAGGTTTTAAAGGTTTAAGGAAGTTTAAGTTAGTTTGTAAATGAGACAAAATATTAACTAAAGGTCCCCTTCTAAGTGACCATTATAATTTCATAAGTAGAATATTAATGTTTGAGACTAGAACTTATATATTTGTGGCCATATTATTAGGTGCATACAAGTTTACAGTTATTTTCTTTTACCAGTGAACTCAACCTTTTATTGTTACCTTCTGTATCTCTGTGACACTTTGCATATAAAGTTTCTTTGTTGATACGTTAATAAAATTGTTAATATGGCTACAACTGCTTCATTTTAGTTAATAGTCATGTGGTATGTTTCTTCCCATCCTTCTACTTTCAAATTTCTTGTATCCTTGTGTTTCAGGTGATTCCTGTCTTCTGTAAGCTACATAAAATTAGATTATTTTTAACCAGCCTGACAATACTGGTCATTGAGTCCCCCTGGATTTCAGACTTCTTGCCATTGTTTCAAGCCCCCCAGTCTGTGGTAGTTTGTTATGACAGCCCCAGGAACTGAGACAGGTTCTGTCAGTTTGCTTCCTTAATGACTTTGCATTTAGTTCCTCCTATCAAAAGCAGGAAGACAACTGGTGACAATGGGATGAAGTAACTAAAAGAAAACGAAGAGTCTAGTGCCATTATGTCAGTATTAAGAAATCAGAAGACATTGGGGCACCTGGGTGGCTCAGTTGGTTGAGCGTCTGACGTCTGCTCAGGCTGCGATTTCACAGTCGTGGGTTCGAGCCCCGCATCAGGCTCCGTGCTGACCACTTGCTCAGAGCCTGGAGCCTGCTTCGGATTCTGTGCCTCCTTCTCTCTCTGCCCCTCCCCCGCTCGTGCTCTGTCTCTCTGTCTCTCTCAAAAATAAAAATATATTTTAAGGGATAAGGAAAAGGGAATTAAAAAAAAGTTAACACATCCTACTCTCACGATTTTGTAACCTGTTTCATTCAAATAGTGTATCATAAACATTTTTCCATATTAATAGATACTTTTATGCAAAACAATTTTTTAATGGCTACATGTGTTTCCCATAGCATAATGAATCCATTATAGTATAGAGGGGAATTTAGTTAATCAATCCCATATTGTTGAATATTTAGGTTGTTCCCAAATTTTTGCTAATACAAATAGCTATAGCAGGCATAAGTTAGCTAAAAATAAATAAAAATTAGGTAAATAAGAAAGTAAATAATTTTTGAAATAAAAAAAGTAAAAGAGTGGAAAAATAAATGTTGGGAATATAAATCTTTCCCATCCCATTTCCCCATTTTCACCACCCACCTCCCAAATCTCACAGGACTCCAAAATTGTGAACACACAAAAACCAGAGGGGTTTAATTTTTCTTCTTTTTATTATTTTAAGTTTATATCTTGACCCATTCCTTGCATAAGTAATATTGGTATTGTAAAAAGAAAACCACAAATGTTTATTGAGATAAAGAATACAGAATGTGAAAATCTCCCCCATCTCCCCCAAATGACCATTATTAAACATGGTATTGATATCTTATGATTTCTTTTTTTTTTTTTTTTTACATTTATTTATTTTTGAGAAACAGAGTGAGACACAGCGTGAGCGGGGGAGGGGCAGAGAGCCTGTCAGCACAGAGCCTGACGAAGTGCTCGAACTCACAAACCCTGAGATCATGACCGGAGCCGAGTGGGAAGCTTAACAGACTGAGCCACCCAAGTGCCCCAATGTGTGTTTTTAGCTTTGTTTTTCTGAGGTGAAATTCACGTAACAAAAATTTATCCATTTTAAAGTGTATAATTTAGTGTCAGTATATTTACAACGTTGTGCAACCATTACCTCTACCTAGTTCCAAAACATTTTATCACCCCCAAAGGAGGCCTCATATCCATAAAGCAATCACTCCCTATTCCTGCTCTCATCCAATGCCTGGAAATCTCTACTGGGCCCTATGGATTTGCTTATTGTGGGTATTTCATATAAGTAGAATCATATAATATGTGGCCTTTTGTATCTGTCTTCTTTCACTTAGCATAATGTTTTCAAGGTTCATCCATGTTGTAGCAGTTATCAGTATTTTATTCCTTTTTATGGTTCAGTAACATTCTATTGTAAGGGTGTATCATATTTTGTTTCTGCATCCAGCTGTTGATGGATTTGGTTGTTCCCACAGTTTCTACCTTTTGTCTATTGTAAATAGTGGTGCCATGAACATTTGGTTACAAGTATTTGTCTGAACACCTGTGTTCAATTCTTTGGGGCATATACCTAGGAATGGAATTGCTGGGTCATATGAAAATCCTGTTCAACTTTTTGAGGAGTGACTACACTGTTTTCCACATTGGCCGGGCCATCTTATATTCCATCAGCAATAATATGAGGGTTCCAATTTCTCTACATGCTCCTCAACATTTCCTATTGTTCTTTTTGAATTATTATTGTTATACTAATATATTATTATTATTATTATTATTATTATTATTATTATTATTATAGTTATGCTATAATAATGGGTATGACATAACATCTCATTGTGATTTTGATTTGAATCTCCCTAATGGCTTTTCCCTAATGGCTAATGAAGTTGAGCAGCTTTTCATGTGGTTTTGGCCATTTATATATTCTACAGAGAAATATCTATTCAAACATTTGTCCAATTTTTAATTGAGCTGCTTATCTTTTTATGGTTGAGTTATAAGAATTCGTTATATATTATGGACACTAGACCCTTATCTGACATATGATTTCCAAACATTTTCTTCCATTTTGAGAACAATCTTTTCACCTTCTGGATAGTGACCATTAGTTCATTTTTATGGAAAATAAGAGATACATCTCTTTCATTAAAAAAAAAAAAAAAAAAAGAACTATCTGAAGAAATATTGTCCTAAACCAATAGTGATTATCTCTGGGTAGTTTGGATTGCCACTCTTTTGTTATTTCTGAATCACTTGTGGCAATGTGTTCCATACTTACTAATTTTGCAAACTGGTAAATGGAAAGTGAAAGTTCCAATCGTTAGCTCATGTTATTGTGACTTCTGTGCATCTTGTAAAGGACCTGAAGTGATGGGCATTTAGGGGGTTTCTGAATGCACACAGGGGCAGGGTCCTGAGTGCTGGGGCAAGTGGATAGTCCCGGCTTTTACCCTTGTCATTCTGTTTTGTTTCTGTCACTCACGGGGCACACCTTGGGAAAAGGAAACTGAAACTGAAGCTGAGTTCAGCCACTGGTGAGGCTCTCTTCCCGACACTGCCCCCTGACGTGCACAGCTCAGGTTCATAAAAGGGCTGAGCCGCAGGGGAGCTGGAAGCTGAGAGGCAGCCTCCTCGTCTGTGAACTGTGAAGGACCTGGTGCCAGAGCCTACAGCCATGGTGAGGGGGGTTTGCCGGGTGGGGGCAGGGGGGCTCTGTACCAGTCGATTTTCCCATTTCATCGCTGGGGTCTCCCAGGGGTGGAGCACTCACTGTGTGCCAGGCAAGTGGAGGTGCTCAGAGCTCCCTCAGGTCCCTAATCGTGCGGGGTGGTGGACAGAGCTCCTTCTGACGCCAGGGCCTGGGTCTTGGAAAGTGTGTTTTGCCCCGTGTTTAACCCTGAGATCCCTGGGCATTGGCACAGAGGGGCATCTTCGTGGGTTAAGGGAGGTGAGGTGACAGCTGCGTGTGGCTGCCTTTCTTCTGGAAATGCTCCTTGCTCGCCTCCAGCACCTGGGGTCCCTTTCGTGGTGGGTGGGGAGGAGAGCAGCATCCCCAGCCCCTAGGAGCTTGCCCTGTGGCCAATGCCATGCACGCAGTGGCTCCAGGACTGATGCCAGGGTCTGTAAGTCTGTGTGATGTCCACAGGGCGGGGACCTGAAGGTGAAAATGCTGGGGGGTGAGGAGTTCCTGGTGCCCCTGAGAGACAACATGCTGGCGTCGGAGCTGAAGCAGCAGATCGCCCAGAAAACTGGCGTGCCCGCATTCCAGCAGAGACTGGCCACCCACCCCGCCGGCACGGTGCTGCGCGATGGGGTTCCCCTCCTCAGCCAGGGCCTGAGCCCCGGCAGCACGGTCCTGCTGGTGGTGCAGAGCTGCAAGGACCCCCTGAGCATCCTGGTGAGGAACCACAAGGGTCGCACCATTGCCTACGAGGTCCGGCTGACGCAGATGGTGGCTGAGCTCAAGCAGCAGATATGCCAGCAGGAGCATGTGCAGGCCGACCTGTTCTGGCTGACCTTCGAGGGGAAGCCCATGGAGGACCAGCACCGGCTTGGGGAGTATGAACTCACACCCCAGTGCACTCTGATCATGAATTTGCGCCTGCGGGGTGGGTGAGGCAGGACCAGGACAGCAGCGCGGAGGGCTGCCCACCCAAGTCCCTGACCAAGTGTGGGTAATAAAAGTTGACGCAAAATTAAACGTCTCCTTCCGTCTCTGCCCTCCTCCTTCCCCCAGCACCCCTCGCTTCTGCACCCCTACTGATGAGGCTGGGGGAGGGGCAGAGGAGGAAGTGGGATAAGGAGACGCAGGGTCACCGGGTGGTCACTAGGCTGCATTTGCCAAGTAAGTGAAGGCACAAGTCTAATGAGATCAAAATAGTGACCCACTCCCAGCCACTCCTCGGAGAAACTGAAGATGTCCCCTCACCTTTGAGAAATTAAATTCTAGAGAAAGAAGAGACATATCTGTTGGCGCGCACCCCTACCTCCAGGCTGAGCCTCAGTCGGCCCCTGCATAACTGATTCCCATCCCCCACATCTGGGTCAGCAGACAGTACAGGGAGGGAAAGGTGTGGTCAGGTTCTTACTAGGACCAGCACCCCTGGAAGTGCTCGGAGGGTGAGGCCCTAGGGCCTGCCTGGCTGGGTTGTGAGGCAGGCTCCTCCACTGGCACTCATGGCCCTCCAGAACCCATCGGCCTGCCCTGTCCGGCCTGCACTGGTCCAGGGAGGGGTGTGGGCAGGGCCTTGAACACACACATCACCATCTGGCAAGCTGCTGAATGGAGACTATTCTCCAACAAATACACCTTAATGGAGAGACCATGGCCAGCAGGTGAGGGGCCCCCCTGGAATGGGCGATTCCTTCAGTCCAATGTGGAAGAGCTTGTCTCAGATGGCGGGCACGCACCTAATTTGACACAAACTACACCTGCTTCCACGTAGACTGTTTCTCTCTATACCAATTTCCCAGGAATTCCACGGGAGCTGGACTGAGTCAGCTTTGGACACAGGCAAGATGGGGTTGGGGGGAGAGACACAGAACATAGCCATACGCTTCTCTGGGCTAAAGTCCACGACTCTGGGGACTCAGACCTCAGCCTTCAGTCTGTTCAGAGTAATTTGGCTGGAGACCCAGAAGCCCCTTTCTGGTCGGGGGGGGGGGGGGGCCGGGGGGGGAGGAGGCGGTCTCTATCTGGGCTGAGAGACTTCTAGATCTTGCTCATCTGTGACCAATATGTGTAGACAGGCAGCTGTGTGTATGTATGTGGGAGGGGTGCTCTCTTGGTTCCAGGTTCATTTCCTGGGTCCCCACCCTCACTTCTTTGTCATACTACAAATTAGCAGGTGTGAGCATACATCCTTGGGGCCATCCTCCTTCCCTGAACCCCTCCCACCAGGGTCGGGGAGGTAAGGTACCTTCTCCCAGAGGGGCTACTTCCTGCATTGCTTCTGGCTCAGAGATCTGTGGATGGCTTGGGGTGAGGAGGTGTGCCACAGATTCAGCCCTGGACGGACAGAAGGGGTCTCCTCCCCCTCCCCCTCGATCTTCAGCTAAGCTAGGCTCCAAATTGTACTCTCTGGATCTCAGTTGATCCCATGTACCTAGACAGGCTGGCTGGAGAAGGGCCCACCGCGGGGCTGAGGAGGGGGCGTGGCCGGCTGTCCCCTGCTGAGCCGACACAGTCGCGGCTGCACGACAGAGGGAGCCCTCCGCTCTGCAGCCAAGCCGGGGCCGACCCGGGACCGGGCGGTGGGCGGGTCTGCGCTCCATTCTGACCAATCACCACAGCCAGCGGTCCACATTGGTCCTAGCCGGCCGGGGGCGCGGCCTGCTGGGGCCGCCTCCTCGCCCGAACCTGCTGGGGGTCCCGGACCCGGGCGAGTTTCTGTCCCCAGCTCCCGAGAGGGGTTGTGGTGTGCCATCGAGCTCTTCCCGCCAGGGGAGGGGCGCAGCCCTGCAGGGTCCGAGGGGCGGCGGGGCCCCAGGACCTGGCAGCCCCTTCCCGCGGCCAAGGAGCTCCCGCAGCTCTGGCCCCGGCGCAGCCCGGAGCCCCTTGGAAGTCCCGTCACGTCGCCTCCAGATTATGCATTAACCCGATTGCAGCCGCATTTCCTGGGCGGGGGTGGGGGTGGGGGAGAGACGCCCGCGCAGGAGGGGGAGGGGCGTCCACGGGGGTGCGCCGCAGAAGAGCGAGCACCTCCCGGGCCCGCCCACCACCACCCCCCAGTCCCGTCCGCCCTCCGCCCTCCGCCCTCCGCCCTGGCAAGTCGCACCACCCACCTTGGCCCGACCCAGTCCGACCCCCGCCCTCCCACTAGCCCGGCCTCCGCCCGGCGTCGCTGTCCCGACGCTTTGTTCGCGGCCGGCGCGGGACGCTGGGCGCCGGGAGGGTAGGGGACCCGCGCAGGCTGGGGAGCTGGGCTGGGCGCGGGG